TTTAAGTATTTAATAATGTAGTTCATAATAGTTAACTCACAGTCTATGACAGCCTCCCTTACCCCCCCCCCCCCCACACACACACCCACAACTTTTGGGACCTCTTGGTACTTTGGCATTTTTAGAAAGGGCGATGGACCCAAATACAAATTGGTGCTATAGCTAGTTACCCTGTGGCTGTTTGTGCCATTGGATAAGGTTTGTCAATCTCAAAGGTTTAGCAAGAACAAAATGTGATCTAGTGGTATTGAATGGGAATTAACTCCAAGGCTTATATTTTTGCATGATGGAGCTAATTTGATGGAACATTACAGGATTTTAAATCAAATTGTTTCTTATGTCTTTAATTCTATTTTAGCCAATCCTTGCTGTTCAAATCCATGCCAAAACCGAGGTGTATGCATGACAAAAGGTTTTGATCAATATGAATGTGACTGTACGCGGACTGGCTTTTATGGGGAAAACTGCACGACACGTATGTATTTCTGAAAGTATTATTAGTGATATAATGAATTTGTAAGAGAAAGGCTATAAGTTTTTCAGATTAGGTCCAGGCAGGTTTAGGGTAGACTTCTTTTTAAGGGCCTGAAAATAAGATTTCCATCTGTGCAGCCTAGAGTCAGGGATCTATGGTAAGGATGCAGAACATTTGTACTACATTTAAGAGTTAGGGGAGGTAAGGATCAAGGCTGTTTTAATTATGGCCTACAGTTTATGACTTTCATGAATTTGATGATGTTGACAGATCAAAGTGATATTTTTACTATATTTGTGCTTTGATTAGTAAATAAACTTTTTTAAAAAGTCATGCTGAAAGCAGCATCTATTTTCAAGTAGTCTGCAAAAGAAATATTAATGTATTAAGAAGTGTATTAAGAGATGCTGACGTAGACAATATTGAACTAGATCGTGCAATCATCTGACTTGATAAAAGGCAGTTTCCTAAAAAAATTCTGTTTCTATACTTTTTATGCAGCGGAATTTTATACTTGGCTCAGACTTAAGCTAAAGCCTGCTCCAGACACGGTACACTATATACTCACACACTTCAAAGGCATCTGGGATATAATCAACAACATTCCATTCCTCCACAATGCCATAATGAGATACATTCTAATGTGTAAGTCTTCCAACTCTTTCGTTGCTTGTACAGGCTAATCTTGTTTTCTTATACTTGAAAATCAGTCTTATTGAGTTCAGTGAGTTCCTTAATCTTGAGCTTCTTGCCCTTAAGTAAGGAAGATTGTAGCCTAAATCATAGCTGTAGATATTTCAGCCCTCTAGAGAACTGTATGTATTGATTAAAATAGCTAATAAAAAGTTAACATGGTATTTGACAAAGCTACAGTAAATTGAAGTTCTGTTGTTTTACATACCTTTGGCAAATTGGTTGTCTTTAAAGAAAATGGCAAAATAAAACTACTCCTAAGACTCTGTTTACAAGTTAGGCCAGGAGAAAGTCCAAAAAATAAAGAATATTTAAACTGGCAGTGTTTACAGACTAAGTGCTTGAACTGATTCTGAATCAGTACATCTAGATAAAGTCTATTGGCATACTATGTGGCTAGTACAGAGTATCCCGTTCACTGGTTTAAAAAACTTCTGGGAGAGATTTCTACAAACCCACACAAAATTATCTGCAGTAGAGTAGATAAGATATGTACAGCCTCTGAGTATTACCAAGAAATATACTGCGGGTAGAAGAATGCTTAGTGGTTGCTAATTGCTTTTCCTTTGTTTTTGTATTTTTTTTCTGGAATTAAGACCACTATTAATAATTTCTGAAACTTATTTAGGGTCCTCTATATAAAGTTGTAAGATAAAATACTATTATATCTAATTTACTGACAGTAAAGCTGAGGCTAAAAAAATGCATTATTTAAACTTAGGGAACTGAGAGAGAGGGAATCGAAATTTAATTCTTGTTATTGGGACATACTTTTTAAAAGTTATGTTTGAGATAATATAGAGATGCTAGTTACAGGTTGTTTAGCATTAATACAATTTTGTCTCATCTCCTTTTTTAGCCAGATCCCACTTAATTGAAAGCCCACCAACATATAATGGCCGCTATGGTTACAAAAGCTGGGAAGCCTATTCTAATCTTTCCTACTATACTCGAACTGTTCCACCAGTGGACCATGACTGCCCCACTCCAATGGGTGTGAAAGGTAAGAAGGAAAGCAAATCAGTGCATAAGGACTGGAGGAAAGATACGTCAGCTCATAAATGGAGCAGAGTTGTGCCCAAATAGCCAAAGCTGTAAAGTTGTAACGGGGTTTAGGAAATTACAGGGGAAGACAACAGACTCTTGTCAACAGATACCTTGTCCTCATTGTGTGGACAGAATAGAGCAACAAGCAGTCATGAAACATGAACAGTGAATGCCCAGATGGGACTTAAATATTAGAAAATGCTATAAAAGAAAATGTCAGATATTGAGTGTTTGTTATACCAGATTTTTTTCCCTGTGAAATATTATGCCAAACTTGTCAAAGAAATGGGGCATGGGTGACTCTATATCTGCAGTGTTATCATGGCCACCAAATTGGTCACTATTTGAAACTAAGACTAGAAACTAAGACAAGCACTCTATTATGCTGGGGTACATAGATTACATAGATCAGTTCTAACCTGCAAAGGAGCACCAATATTTTGTTCTACATCACTGTTGTATTTCCTTCTTATTGAAATTTTATTTCAGTAAAAAGTTGGTATGTTTGAAAATGCAGTTGATTTCCTTTGTCTACAAATGCCAGAAAATAAATGTTTGCTTTATATTTCAGGCAAGAAGGAGCTTCCAGATTCAAAAGTAATTGTAGAAAAATTTTTGCTAAGGAGAAAATTCATTCCTGATCCTCAAGGCACGAATGTCATGTTCACCTTCTTTGCCCAGCATTTCACTCACCAATACTTCAAGACAGATACTCAGAAAGGACCAGCCTTCACAAAAGGTCTTGGACATGGGGTAAGACTGAAGAACTATGACTTGGCTTGATAAGTTGTAACAAGCAAAATTTTGTTAAGTGCTGTGTTGAGAATGACTATCTTGAAGTACTTGAAGGAACAGCATAAATATAGCGATATGCACACTTCATAGCTAGTCTCTCGGAAATAATCTGCTCTCATGTTTCATCACCTAATCAGTTCCTCAAAGAATTGAGCTGTTTCATATCATCCATTCAGATTAGCTGTGCTACAAATACTATTCTTGCATCTGTGTTTTTTTTTAAATCCAAAAGAAACTGGCTTTGTCAGCAGCTTTTAAGAGCGAAGAATGTCTTTATGAAAACCATTCACTTTGCTGTTTAGAACAGCAGAGAATATAACTTTTAGAAGTATAGTTGAGTATCTGAAATGTTGAATCCAGCCAAAGTTAATACTTTCAGTTTTCAGAATGCTTGATTGGATTGTGCTCAGATGCTTCATATGATAATGGGCTATTGACATTCCACTGATTTAAGGGAATTTGTTCTTCTTGTTCCCTCTGCTGCTGCCCCCCTTCCCCATATTGTATTGTATAATACTCTAGAACATTATAGGAATTATCTCTGGATGGCATTCGCTATGTTTATAGATGTTCTCTCTGTCTTTTTATTATTATTATTATTTTTGTTTGTTATTTTTTTTTTATGTTCTCTCTGTCTTGAGGGCTGAAACTAAATTTTTTTGTTCTATGAACAGGTTGATCTTAGTCACATCTATGGAGAGACTTTGGACAGGCAGATGAAACTAAGACTTCTTAAGGACGGAAAGCTAAAATTTCAGGTGGGTTGAGTTTCTTTGAGAAATTCCTTCAGTTCTACTTGATGAGTGCTGCCCCATAAAGAAAGGACCAATTCATCTAATGAATTTGGAAATCTCAAACTCACTAACTTTTCCATCAGCTTACTGTTTGAAGTGACATTGAGTAGGACAGAATTTTGTTTTAATAAACTCATTTATGAAAATGCAATTTTCATTTACTTTTATTTTTAATTACAGATGATTGGTGGAGAAATGTATCCACCTACTGTGAAAGAAACTCAGGCAGAAATGATCTATCCACCCCACATCCCTGATCACCTGAAATTTTCTGTAGGACAGGAAGTCTTTGGCTTGGTTCCAGGGCTGATGATGTATGCCACATTGTGGCTTCGGGAACACAATCGAGTCTGTGACATTCTTAAGGGAGAACACCCAGAATGGGATGATGAACAACTATTTCAGACCACCAGACTGATCTTGATAGGTAATTTAACAAATAATACATATACACCATCTTGTGAAATCCAAAAAATAGTATTATTCAGAAATCTAAAGTGGAAGATCGGTCAGCATCTACAGGCTATAGTGCTTAAGTAGAAGTTCATTATATGCAGCCAATGTCTGTCTAATACTGAACTGTAAAAGAGTTCTTGGACAAAAAGGTTGGGTAGACTTTGAGGGTGATCTCAAGTATGCCATCAAAAAATGAATGGGGGCAGGGGAAGAAACATAAATATATCCCACCCCCTCAAAATAGAGAGTGTCTGGAATAGCTATAGAATGCTCAAAGAGTCCAAATAGTCTTCTCTTTCTGTCAGTCAACAGAGAATAATAAGCTTTGGAGCTTCATGGGAAAGGAGATAGTGAGATACAGTTGCAGAAAAGAATATGGGAAGGAGCCTGTCTTCATTATTATAATGCATGAGATTTCAGATATAAATGCCACCCATGACAATTAATTTGCATTGCCTCTCTGAACATCATTTGCTGAAGGAAAATGCTGATAGATAGTCTATGCACTTGTGATCTGTATCTGAATTTCACAGAGTCATTCTCTAATAACTAAGGAATACAATGCTAGTCAAGATAGATAATTCCTTACCCTGGTTGAGATTATTTGCTTATTATTTGGCTTAATTTGCAGCATAGAATTCTGCCAGTCACAGAACAAGTGATTTTGGAATAGTGGGATTAAATATTTGGTGCTGTTGAGGAATCTGAACTGCAATGCTGATTTTATTGTATATTTTCTTAAAGGAGAAACCATCAAGATTGTGATTGAAGACTATGTGCAACATTTAAGCGGATACCATTTCAAACTGAAGTTTGATCCAGAACTTCTCTTCAACCAGCAATTTCAATATCAGAACAGAATAGCAGCAGAGTTCAACACCCTTTACCATTGGCATCCTCTTCTTCCTGATACCTTTCAAATCCATAACCAAGAATACACTTACCCACAGTTCATGTATAACAATTCCATTATGTTAGAACATGGTCTTTCTCACATGGTACAGTCTTTCTCCAAGCAAAGGGCTGGAAGGGTAAGGCTCTTTTCTCCTATTTTTTCCACCTTGATCAAGATTGCACTTCATTTAGCTGGAGGCAGCAGAAATTCATTCATACATACATACATACATACATACATACATCTATACCTCCCAACTTCCATAACAGCATAGCTGTCCTTTGGTAAATCACTACCATATCTGAAAATGTTTTAAGAACAGAAAAAGAATAGTCTTATTGATACTCGGGTCTGATACTGCCTGTAATTTTTGTGATAGCTATATGATTTGATCTTCTTATGCTACATATTGACAAATGTGAATGGCGTTTGCATGTAGTATATGCAGCTGAGTTTAGCCAATATTCATATGATTCCAAAGGATGCTATTCCATTGTTTCATGTTAGGTATATGTCTCTGATGATAGAAAAGTAGTTTTTATACTGAGGAGGATATTCTAAGCTTCTGCTTCAGAGCACATGACAAAATATTCCTTTTTGTTCATCCCTCCACATATAAAACTAGATATCAGCAAAAAGTGTTCTAGCTATCCTTTTTTTTAATAAACCAAATCTGAGTAAGTCTGTAATCCAAACTCATTTCTCTGTGAAAACTAGACCTTGATAGCTTACAGAGATAATGTAAATATGTGACAAGTAGCCAAACTAATTTAATACAGAAAAATAGGCAATCTTTTTCTGTTTTGCTAGTCAGAAGTGATATGGGGAATCCATGCCAATGGTATACTAAACTATATTATCTTTCCTGTTTTGTACTTGTTTTTCTTTGGGATCAAGATATCAATAAGCATAACAACCTTTAAATGAATAACACTGCTCTATCTGACCTAACATAATTCAGTAATATAATTCTTCATATTATTATTTAATTTTTTTTTGCAAACAGGTAGCTGGGGGTAGGAATGTTCCTGCTGTAGTGCAGAATGTAGCTAAAGCTTCTATTGATCAAACCCGGCAGATGAGATACCGATCCTTGAATGAATACCGAAAGTACTTTCTGCTGAAACCTTTTACATCATTTGAAGAACTTACTGGTAAGATTTACTTGCAAGCAAGCAAGTGTGTATATCTCAGAGGTAGAAGTTGTGCCCCCAGTCCGGTTCTTAGCATCTCCAGTTAAGGCAAGGGTACACAACCTAAAAAGCTTCACCGCAAATTGCCACTGAATTGTAACTTTTAATCAAGGGGGAAAACTGTTAAATGCACAGAGAGTTGTATTAGCCACATTAATTTTAATAATGAAATACAATCTCTGCAATACTTTAAGGCAAATTGTGACCCTGAGCTAGGAAAAATTGCACCGCCCTTGTTTTAAGGGATTGAAAACAGCAGGTCCATTGATTTGGGTTAGACTATGTTCTGTGCTGGCTCACCAAGATTAAAATGCAATGTTCAAGCAATATATCAACACATAATTTATCATTTAAAACAAAAAGTAAAAGTAAGCTAGCTAATGATTTCTACTTTCAAAAGAAATCTGTACGGTAGTCACAGATGAAGAAAGTAGAGTTTCCTTTGTTCTAAAGATAGTTGTCCTTATTACAGGTGAAAAAGAAATGGCTGCAGAACTTGAAGAGCTCTATGGAGATATTGAAGCTATGGAACTGTACCCTGCTCTTCTTGTTGAAAAGCCACGTCCTGGAGCCATCTTTGGTGAGACCATGATTGAACTTGGGGCTCCCTTCTCCTTGAAAGGTCTTATGGGAAATGCCATCTGCTCGCCTGAATACTGGAAGCCAAGTACTTTTGGGGGTAGAGTGGGCTTTGACATTGTGAATACAGCCTCCCTCCAAAGACTCATCTGCAATAATGTGAAGGGCTGTCCCCTCACAGCCTTCCATGTCATCAGCTCTGAAACAGTGGCAACAAATAATGTCAGCACCTCCAGCAGGTCGATAGATGAAATCAATCCTGCCGTACTACTCAAAGAACGGTCAGCCGAATTGTAGAAAGAATCACTCTTTGTGTATTTATTTATTAATTTATTTATATAACCATATTTATTTATACTTCAAACAAAACCACCACGGAGCTCTGTATATTTTCCTGTGCCCTGGCATCTAGTTCAGGGTGTCTGACTTGAAGGTAGTTCTGCTTAGATTTGCAGGACAAGATCTCTTCATTCTTCATTATGTCTTCGGTACCAGAACAGGATATTCCAAAATGGATCAAGGGTGTTAGATTTGCTACTTTAAACACAAACAAAAACCTTGAATGTTCTTTTTTTTTGTTTTTCAACTTGGCATCATGTTGTTAAAGCAGGTTAAGTGTTATTATTTCAGCATTGTAAAAGTATTTAAAATAACTCAAGGAAGGGCCTTACCAAATGAATGAGGAAGAAAAAGAAGAGTAGGAAGTTAGCCAAGGTTATGCATTTTTCCAATATTATTGAGCAAAAAATTAGGATGTAAAATGTCTAAATTGTGCTCTGTGTTAAGTGGTATAAAATCAGGAGGTGGAAAATGAATTTTCACAAGCAATTTTATATGAGAAACCATAAGGTTTTGCAAACTGACAAGTTTTTGCAACCTGATTTCATTTCCTGAGTAGTCTCATCTCAATTAAGCACATGTATTACCCTCTATCCTTAAAGAAAAGGCTTTACTTTTTGATTCAGTTCCCATACATTTCCTTATTAAATGAATAGTAACAAGTAATTCCCCCCAAAATATGATTTGTTTTTCAGTGTTTTCAATTTTAGCTCTCATTCGCCTGAAAAAGTGAAAAATGTGCATGCAGTTTTCTAATGATCAAACCATGGCTTGGCACAGTATACATGCTCTTAACTGAAACAAATATTTAGGAAATACATTTAGGAAGTCGTAATTTGAAGAAAAGCAGATTGGAAAGCTTTCAAATGATGAAAATTTTTCAATACCTGCAGTTACTGCATTGCCTCATGTATCTTTCATCTGTACCCTTTTTTATTTGCAGAAGCTGTAAGAAAATTATACAATACAACTAAAACCCAGTTTTACATTCAGCAGTTTATTAGTTGTCCAATAATCAGACATTAAGTCATTTTTCTCCTCAATTTGCCATAAGGTTTCCATAGAGTAACTGGTAAATAACTTTTTATTTTCCTATATCACTTGTATGGTGGGGATTATCCTGTCTCCCGTAGGGAAGAAATGTGGGTTCTGGATATAATTAAGGCCCAAACACTCTTGCTGAATTTCAACATGATTTTGACATCTAGAGTCTCTCTTTTAGCACTGCACTTTATGCAAAGAAGGCCAGTTCATCATTAACACCTTAACACTACATTTTGTCTAATATTATTGGAAGTGTTCAGATAGATTGTAGATTCTGTAGTTGACTTATAACTTGAAAAATGCTGTTCTCCTGTATTATGTTTGTTAAATGTTAAATATTTTGTATGTCTGAAAAGACATGTGAAATCTAATAGGGTCTGACAGAAACATACTACTTGCTAAGAATTTTACTTTTTGGGGAAGAAAAAGGACCCTAATTAGTCCCTAGCTTTGGTGGTATGTGTAAAGATTCTTTTTGCAAGATGAACAATTAAAGGGAAAAATATTGCTGGCTAGAAAAAGAAATCTCAGGATAGCCAAATAGTACAGTTAGGGTGCTCTCAATAAAGTCTTGTTGCTGTTAGTCTTCTTGCATCACTGGAACTTGTAGAGGAGAATCTCTAGCAGATTATGTCTAAATACCTGAATTTTTGCCGGGACAACACTGTCTTATTCAAATTGGTCTCCTGTATATCTTAAGTTTCCCATTGCTATGATTTTTTTCAGTTGCCTTTTCTTCAGCAATAGGGTACTCTGCCCTTTCTTGTACTGAATGTTTAATTTTAATATTTTTCCCGTAGTCCTTCGTCTTGGTCAGTGTTGCCTTTTGACTCTGTACATTTTGTACAGTACTTGTATTATATAAATACTGTGTAATAATAACTGGTAATATATTGTAAAATGTTATGCTACAGAATCGTGTTTTTTCTGCATTTTGTTCAGTGTATTTATCAAGCAGATCAGTTTGCTCTTATAATAAGTTTCCATTTCTTGAACATGGGGGGAGAAAAACCAAGAAAACTAGTATTTATCTCAGCAAGCTGGTCTTGGTTGGGTGTTCAGATTATACTGCTTATGTGCAAAATGAAAGCCATGTTTGCTGAGGTCTCAACTCAGAGAAAATTTGATACATTTTTGTATATGATCAAGTTTGCTGGATTTGAAGTGTGTGTTTATTAAATATTTTTATTTAATTCTGCTGTAC